CTGGATATAAGCCGCGAACTTCGTAGGCCCCGGTCCCCACAAGTCATGGGAAGGTCCGTCGCAGGTCAAAAAATCAAACCTCATAAGAAGATCAAGGAAACTCCAGAAAATGAAACTACAGATGAGTTCTATATCTGCTCCAAACCGCAAGCTAAGCCTAAGATAAAGCGGCCGAAGGCAGACAATTCTACATCTGTCGCCAGTCCGACAGGAGTACATTCCAAAAATACTTCACGAAAGCGCACAAAGACGGAACTAGCAAATCCAGACCAACACTTCCACAAAAAGCAGCAGCTCATAACATCCAACCAGAGGACGCCTGATGTGTGTGAGGGCCGTACTCTTTTCATAAGGTATGTCCAGGCCGTTTCTACAGTGATAATCAAAGACGTCTAGGAATGTTTCTTTCGATGCGGACGAACACCGTCTTCAGGAGTTCTTTTCAGCCTTTGGTCAGCTTGAGTTTGTCAAAATTGTGAAAGATAAAGTAACACAACATCCTCGTGGGACTGCTTTTGCCAAGTTTGTGCGAAAGGAGGACGCCGACCGCGTTTTGCTTGATAGTTCTAAGATGGAGGTACGTTATAATTTTGAAATGCTTGCTTATTGCCGGCTTATTATAACCCTTTTTTGGACCCCAAATGCATTGACTAGAATCTAAATCTTTCTAGTTGTCTATATTGTTTGGTCCCCCGCAACTACTCAAAAACATGCGTGTAAATAAAGATTTACCGACACGCCCACAAATGTAGTAAGAGAATAATGGCAAGTTGTTTTGTCTTCTGCTTCTGCCATACTTGCTTTACAGCGGCCACTCGGCGGGCATTGTCGACTTAATCGATATAAAGCTGTATAAGGCACGATATTTACGTATCACAATTACTGGTCAACTGTTTGATAGGTTTAGATTTAACCACTGACCTTTTGGTTGCACATTTAATATATGTTTCTCTTTTGAAGGACCTAATAATAGAATTACCAAAATCCTATATGACAGTTTCTGTCTGTGTCACGCCCACTGGACCATTTTCATCTACGCATGTAATAAAAAATAAGGGTGACTCGTGGACTTTAATGTGATTATTCATCCTTGCTTCGGACCGTTTTCCTTTTGTAGCGCTTGACCACCAAAATGTAGGCAACGTAGAATACAATCTGTTGGCCAACTGGTCCAGGTGTCTCATTGAATCGACAAATCACTTGATCAGTTTGACGTATTACTTTTGCTGACGCAACATTCGTTCATTCAGCTACGCATTCGGCAGCCAAGACCCCAAGATCCTGTATTTGGCCTGTTATTTTTGGCATCTTCAGTATGCGACAAATTCGATGTTTTCACTGCTCTCGATCATCTTACTAGCAACCTGTTTATTTCTTCAGCTTAGTTTTATTGACTTTTCAACTTGAAGTATCATGTTAAACCACTCTTCTTCCGTGTCAGAGCCCACCGCTCTAGAGCAACTGACAGTGCTCACTCACAACTCTGGTTTAGGTAGGTGGTCGGATCTCGAAATTTGTGATATCTCCTAATTTTTTAATCATTCCCTTTAATTGGGTTGGAAATAGAAAGTTCTATCAACAAAAAACATTTATATTCTAGATTTACTGTTTTGCGACCATCCCTGTTAGTTATTTTTTTTTTTAAATAATAGCGGTATCATAGATGGGTTTTATTCCGATTCTCGTCTATCTTCGTTATAGACGATATTATTAAAGTCCGAACCCCCTGGTTTCACTTTTTTTTCCGACCACAATTGTGTCCCAGAAAATTAACGAGCCTTTCCGCCCACAGTTGTTTCAGTGTCACCATTTCGGGCGTAGTTGTAGCAAACTTCCTGCATTATTTTCCACACAGTCGCACCTTTGCACACCCGCGGCGGAAAAACCGTCTGCATCGGTCAGAATAGTAAGATATATTTATTACCGTAAGCTTTTTTAATCAGACCCTGACCGCATCAGAATGACAATTTAGAACATTCCTGGTATGTTGATTGCACCGAATAAAACACAAGTACGTATACCTGCTTATTAATTTCAGAATTTCACAAGGTTCACTTTCGCCGGTCGCAGGTTGGTCATATCCCTCGCGGTACCTCCCGGCGATGTCAAGAAACTCCAAGAAGCGCGTGCTGGCGGTCAGACAGTAGAACCCGAAGGCGCTGTCAGTGGTGGACGAAACCTCCATTTAGCGCGAATTGGAAGTGAGTTTTATTGTGAATTGACCGTTTTGTTTTTCAGACTTAGTCAGACTTAAACCGTCTTACAAAGAGCGAAACAATACTTCAGGGAACGTATTATTGATAGGCCACAGGCACTCAATTTTGTTTAGGATGTAGCTCTGCAACGGGGACTGTCCCGTTTTGTGTCTCTTTACTTTATATAAATTTTGTTTTGCTTGTAATCTGGAAGAGACCTGCATGTCCAACTTGCTCATGACCGGTTTGCCTACTTTCTGCTTTCTTCTTTTCGTATCCCAGTGATTCGTGCCGGCACAGCTGCTGCAGAGGGCTTGACGCCACAAGAAGTGGCCATGCGAGAGTCCCTTATGCGAGCGAAGCAAGCCAAACTTAGAGATCCCACCATATTCATCAGTCCTCTGCGTCTCTGCTTGCGCAACATACCAACCACTGTGGACGACAAAACCCTCAAGAAGGCCTGCCTGCGACTGGCTGGTCCGGCGGCTCGCGTCACCGAGGTGATTAATTCGCTAATCTTTATAATTCATTTACTTTTCAACTGGTGCATTCTCTGTGAACCTAAATGGAAATCAAGGCCGATGGATTGACGTGCGTAGCTCCAAAGTAAAGAGCTTTAAGGTAGATTTTGCGTTCTGCGGTTGAGTGAATCCAAATTGGATTACGGCTGCGCTAGTTGCGAGCCTAATTGTTTTATTGAACTAAAAACGTAGGTGCAAAGGTAGCAGAAAGGAGAAAAAGGTCAATAAGACTGTAAAAACAATTCCTATCGGTTGGCACAGGAAGCGTACAAACCAAGAAAACAATAAGAACAACTCCTATTGGCTAACAAAGGAAACCTATAGACTAAGAAAACTAGTATAGCAACTCCTATTAGCATTAGCCGGCCCCATTATCAATCTCTGCTCAAAACACAAATAAACCAATACACACACATCTTCGACCATTGGTTTCTACGAGGTCTATTGTGTGCTCCACAATGCGGTGGTGCTGGGACGGTGACTTGTGCGTGTTTTAAGTAGCGAAATTTCGCTGCGCAGCGCGTACCGCACTCGCTCTACCTCTTCCCTGAAGTCAAGGAGACCGGAAGTGGGAGAGGACAAAGACAGCCCTCTAAGCTTGCCACCACACACACCTCCCTGAGTGAGAGTCCCATAGAGGCCACATTAGGCAGGATCCAGTGCAGTAGCGGTTGGCAGACCGGAGTGGCTGCGAGTTTCGAGATATTCCACCAATTTATAGCCGTCCATGACACGGCTCTTATCACACTATGCTAGTCTGAGGTGCGCCAGATTCTTTATAGTGAGGAATATGTGCTGAAAGTCGAATTCCTTCACTCTGGCCTTTGCCATGCACAATTCCATTTTCTTATCCGGTCAATCAACTGATGCTGAGATCAGGAGAGGTATCTGACAGAATTAAAAACAACCCTGGTCACACACACGCACACATAGGACTTGGCTCCGCAAACGCAACACGTAAGGACTTAACACAGAGGATTTGACCTCTTTGGATGACACATGCAACAGAGGAGCCACAGAACCGAAGAGCTCACCGCCCACTTACGCGCTGCCAGTGGTCATTCTGTTGAG